GAATTTTTAAAACATGAAATACCTAACTATTTAGTCAGAGCACTGACCTCTTTTCCCGTAAATTGTCAAATTAAAAAAATGACCACAACAAACACAACAATAGCCATCCAATGTAAATGAATCAAAATTATACCTTTTTTTTGTCACACTGGCAAAAAAATGTAATATATTTTTTGGTGTGCTGCAGAATTTTAGTAATCAGTTTATGTGTGTCACAAGATGAAAAATTTGGTAATAGCTGGTATAGGGCACTGCAGTACATTTACTAGCAAGGAATAAATGAAATTTATAAAATTCCAACAGAAAATTAATTCTTATTAGTTAGTTAACAAAGCAGGGGTGTCATATTTAGCAAAAAAAAAAAAAAAAAAGGAGCCCTGTTAAATTTGAATTTCAGATAAAAAACAAATTGTCTTTTAATATCAGCATGTCCTGTGTGATATTTAGGACAGATGCTGAAAAAACGATCTGTTGACATTCAAATTTAACAGAGTTTCTGTATTTTTCTTGCAACTCGGGTGAAAAGCCTTGTCCAGCAGTCTAAAACCTATCATATCTGGAGATAGTAACCAAGTCTATAGCTGAACGAGCTTCAGGGAGGTAAGAAGTAATTAGCAAGGAATTTGGATTGACACATGACAAATAATATTTATTTAATAATGAACTAAAATAGCTCATTTTTAAGGATCTGCTCTGAGAATGCATATATATCATTTAAAAAAAAAAACTTCCTTCAGTAACAAATGAATCATTTCAAAAATGAGTCTCTTTTCAGCCTTCAGGGATATCACATAACCTCCTGTCCCTGTTCCCTAAATGTAGATTTATAAACTTGCCTCCATGAAAAGAAAGCCACTGTCTGGTCAGGTATAAAAGAGAGTTCTATGTCTCCTTGTCACGCTTCTGGGGAGGACAGGACCTATTCATGCCCCGGGTTTTCAGGAGGTAAGAAGAGAACCCTGTCCTTACTCTGTGTTTCTGGTGACCTCCTAGGGCTGGGTCACCCCCAGGAGCCCCTGAGGGGCCTCCTCCCCCTGCCATTACAGAGAGGTAAGCAGCAGGCCAACAGGCGGCTGTTCTCCTAAAACAGCCAACTATTTGCAACAATTTTATTTTGCAAAGATTTCCTGCTGTGGCTAAACAGCATGGCTGCTTGGTTTGTTATTTTAAAGAGTGACCCTAGTGGGCCCAGAGCTGTGACAGAAGGAAGAGTCTGATTTCAGACCAGGATAAGGAGGAGGAACTCAGACTGAGTGCGCCTAATTGAATTTCCCTGATGATTCTGAGTGCTGTGCCTGGTGGTAACAGCTCAGACTTTGAGGGTAACTCCTTGTCCCTGTTAGTCAACCCCAATCCTTTCTGGCTCCTGAAAGAAAAACTTATTAACGTATTTCCAAGAGAGGCTAAGGATTGGATTCAAGAGCCATGAGAAGCTGCATTTGGAAGGAGAGGAAGGAAAAGACAATGGAGATGCGAGAGGGATGCAGATACATGGACAGGGAGAGAGCCAAGAGCAGATGTCCCGCAGAGGTAGAATCAGACTTCTAGAGAAATGGAACTGGGGCAGCAGAGAAAGGTCTCAGAGGAAATGTCTTAGTGCAGAAGTATGCTGGTAAGTCTGAAGACTTTCTACACAGTATGCTTGGGAAATCAAGTGAAGGTAAACTTCTCTCTGCTCTACCCTGGCATTTCAGGAATTTATGAATCATCTGCACTGAGTAATCCTTGTTTCTCTTAAGATTACTATTCTTGAGAAGATGGAGTTGGGCATTTGTGGCTATCTTGACAATAACCTCTAAGGAAGGAGCAGAGAGAACCTAGAAGGGCTACCTTCCAGAGCGGCCATAGGATATGGTAACAAAGGTTAAAAACAGCTGTGGTTTTAAAGTTATAGTGGTTAGAGGCCAGGCTTGAGAAATAAGATTTATATTCTAATGTAAAGTAGGCCAAATGAGAAATAATAGTCTCTGCAGGTCCCTATTGACTCAGAGGAAATTTTAAGATAAAAGCAAGCATTCCTGGGCCATATTTATGGACTTAAAGGTAACACCCACTTGATTTCCTCCTGCTGTTTAGCAAGTGTTTTAGTCTCAATAGTCCTTCATGGTTAGCATTTTTTTTTTAAATGAACACACATTTGATAAAATGATCTAAATCAGATTTGAATTAAACACTAAAAACAGTGGGAGAAAACATGAATGTATAGAACAGAATAAATAGTAAGTCCTTGAAGGAAATCTCTTTTGTCTTGCAAAGGGGAGCACAACAAGGAAGCCCCTGGAGAACAGGTATGCACTGGGCAGCTCTGCCTCTCAGAGCATGTCCTTCATTCACTCCAAGTGTTTTCTCGGGGACTCACTGTGCTAGGAGTGGGGGACATAGAAATGAGTAAGACAGAAAGGTCACTGCTTTCACAGAACTTACCAGGAAGAAAGAAAATAAAGCATGTAATTCTAATAGTCTAAAGAGCAGCTTTATTGGAAAAGCACAAGATGCAGTGAAGGCATATTGCAGGGTGATGTTAGTCCAGGGCGCAGAAAAGCCTTCCTAGTGGCAGCGATGCCAGAAGTGAAAGCTGAAGAATGAAGAGTCTGAGACAGGTTACGGAGCATCTGCATTTGTGTTTTGGAGGGAAGGGGCACCTGGGGAGTGTACCCAAGGCAGAGGGAAGAGCTAAAAGTGAGGGAGGACACAGGATTCTCAAAGAATTCAAGTAAGTTCAGTATTGCAGGGATACAGTGTTTAAGGCAGAGAGTAGCATGAGACGATTTTGGAAAGACAGGAGGGCCCATGCCGTGGGAGATTTGGTAAACCATATTAAGGAGATGGGACTTTATTATAGGGGCAATAAAGAGGCCCTGAATGGTATTGAGCAGGAGAGCGATGACATCACATTTCACTTTAGATCACTCTGACTGCAATGTAAATTGAAAAGAAGCCGAGCTAGGAGCCAGAAGGTATTTCAGGGGCCCTGCAGCAGTGCAAGTATGAAAAGATGAATTGGGATGTGGTACAGAGATGAAAATAAGTGAAAGGACTCCAAAGGAAATCCACAGAAAATGGCCTGGTTTGTTATTAGGTGTCAGGGTTATAGAATCAAGGTCACCGAAATTTTTTATTTTAGGCAACTGGATAATAGAATGCATGCTTTATGGGTGGTACAGATTTGGTTAGACGAGGTGGGCAGAGAAAGCAGGTCAGCTTTGGCCATAGTGTGTTCTAAAGGAACACATCTAGTTACAGTTAGAGATACAGACCTGGGGCTCACGTGAGAATCTGCAGCCAGAGATAGCAATTTGGGGGAACTTACGGGCATTATAAATTGCATCTTTGGCAATGACTAAGAAAAGAAGAGGGTCTAGAACAGAGCCCTGAGAAACACTAATATTTAAGACGTGTGTAAAGGAAGAAGAGCATGCCAAGGAGCCTAAGACAGGATTACCAGAGGAAGGAAGAAAACCATGACAGTCAAACAAGCAGTGATCACTACTGCTTGGATGGCAGAAAGAGCAAAGTTCGAGGTGGTAGAATATTAGAACTGGCTCGCAAATACAGCTATGCTAATACTGGTTTTATGTATTTAACTGTTGACACTATTACAGATGCCCCCCATTTCTGCCCTTTGCCCGCCTCCACCCAGCTCCCCACACCCTGGCCTTCATCACATTGTTGTCTGTGTCCATGGGCAATTAATACTAGTTTTAGTTCCAATTCTGAATTTAGGACCTTAGCTGAGAGGCAACAGTCCAACTCCCTTCCAGAAGTTAAACAAGTATAATCAGGTATACATTCAACCGCCACTGAATGTATTTCAGTCTCCCCAGAGCACACTTTCTAACATTTTATTTCTTAAGCTGGATAATGGGTACCTGAGTATGTATTAAGTTTTTCTAAATACCTTTCTATGTGTCCAATATAGTTGATAAATTTAAAATGGAAGCCTAAAACATATTGTTGAGTAAAAGAAAGTCAGGTTATTGAACAACATGAATACATTTCCATTTATGTAAAATTATAGATTTATATCCACAATAGGTATACATGCTCAGGGATAGGTCTAAAAAGATATTCACTAATTCTTTTAACAATGATTCTCTCTCAATAGTCAGATTTAAGTTCATTTTTTCTTTCTTTGTTGTGCTCTTTCATATTGTTTGAATTTTGACAATGTGCACACGTAACAATTTTATATAAATAATGAAACCATAAAAGCACCCTACAGAATGTTCTGCCCCACACAGTCACAGCATTGCCCCATTGAGGATGTGCTGCAGCTATGGCTGGGCTGGGAGGTGGAGGCAGGGAAGCAGAACTCCACCCTTATCTTCTTACTGAATAAACCAGACTAAGAGAAACCATAAAAGCTGCCTCTACAGCAGCATTCTCACTCTTAAAGGCTGACAGAGGAGAAGTGAAGGAGAGAACAACCAATGGAAGAATCCTCTTCATGTGCTTACAGACTCAGGTAACCTATTCTTCATTTTCTCGCAGTATAGCAGCACTCCGAACATACTGGTAAGTGGGCTGATCCTCCCTCGCTTCTGTGTCTATTGCATCCTTCAGAGTGATCAAGCACATGGTGGCCAGAGAGGGTTCAATTCCAAATGGACCTCTCACTGGCAAAATGACTTTGGACAGTTTATACCTACAAGCCTTATTCTTACACCATAAAAGGGAAATGGTTTTTAAAACATGCTTACTAGAGTTGTTGCTTTGAGGATTAAATGAGGTAAAAATGCAACACCCTAAGAGTAACACCTAACACATAGGAAGTGATCAATAAGTGGGGGCTGTTCTGCATTTCTTAGGACAAGAACAGAACCACAGCAAGCTTTGGACCTGAAATGCTCACACCGTCATCAACAACTGCCATCCCAGGGGCCAGCCTTCAACCTGTGACACCTTGAACTGCTCTTCCCACAATTTCTGAGTGTCCAACCCCAGTACTGGAGGCTGAACTCTGACCTCCACCAACTGCATGCCCTCCGTGCCATACTCACCTATTTAGCATATTGGACTGGTAGATTCTCTTCTCATGGGTGTTGTAACAACTGCTCTTGGGCTCAGGGATGAAGCTGTGTTCAGAGAGCATGTCAGAAGCAGCGGTGGTGATTATGGCAATTCCATCCCTCACTCTGGCAGGGAGGCCATAGTCCCACTCATCATAGGACACAGAGATGAGCCCAGTGGGGAACTCCGAGGGTACTGTGTCTGTATCCCCTGCCACCAGACTAGGCACAATCCACGTGTAGCCACAGCCAGTCAGCCCTACTGAGTTAGCCACTTCAAAGATGTAGGTGGCCTCTTCCTTAGTACAATAGAGAAGAATGATGGGGCTTTGAAGTTTCTTGAGCTGGTTCTGGATCTTAGAATCACCATCATCCAGGGACATGTCCAGCAGGAGGACTTCCTCTAACTCCCAGCCCACGAAGCTATTTTCAATGGTGCTGCGAATCTTGTTTACAAAGTCCTGATAGCCAGGAAAGTAGGTGGTGACAATAGAAAAGATGTACCAGTCATACTCTTCCATGATGTTGAGCATTACAGAAGCTTGCTGTTCAATTGATGGGCCAAACTGGAAGAACATGGAGGATTCATCCTAGAATAGTAGAAATGTAAAAAAAAAAAAGAGAGAGAGAGAAATCAAAGCCATGATAGTAAGAGAAAATGTGAGCCAATTGGATAGAAATGTTTGTGTCTGTTATTTACTTTTTCACATAATGCTTTTAAAACTGAATATTTTTAAACTGCAAAAATGTGTAATAACTTTCTTCCTAAAACTACCTCCTAGACTCCAGAGAAATTCAACATAGGTCTATACTCTCCTTTCTTAATCTTTTGGGCTACTGCAAAAGCCCAAGGCAGCTTCCTAAAATCAAATATGCCAATATTTCTAGAGTAAAACATATGAAGAGTTTCAGAAAGTCGGGTAAAGATTCTAAAAGGCCTCATGTCAGTTCAGGTCAGATTTTACTGTCAGATGGGTTATACAAACACACACACGTGCACACACGCACACACTTGCCATTTTTCAAGCCTTTTGGACTCAGTTGTGGATGCGTATGACTTGGTCAGAGTGAATAATTCAAAATGCCATCTATCTACACTTGCACCTACCTATGAAGGTGGCATGGGCACACTGGCCCAGCAGGCGGGCAGTATTCAGTATGGATATTAGGGAGTATCATACAAGATTTGATCAGTATATTTTTTATAAAAGTGTATTTGTTAAATTAATAGCACAGTTAGTTTCCTCTCTGTCTTCTACTCTGAGAGTGAGATATGCAGGTTAGAGTAAGGCTCAAACAGTATATCTAAGCCTCAGAGTAGAATGACTTGTATTCAAGCCAATATGCAATTAAGCTTTATTTTAGAGCAACATATAAAAGATTATTCTTTCTCTTACATATATAATGCCACAGGTCTTCATCTGACCTATGTATCACACACATAACCCTCTGTCAGTTTTGAGCATCTTCTGTTTCTTCCCTCTCTTTGAGGAAGGAGCCATTTTAAATTTCTCCCATCTGAAGTTGCATTTCTCTTGCTGTCCTGAGATGTCAAGCCCTGCATTTTATCTCCACCTTACAGCTCGAAGAATCTGAAACCACAAAATGAAGACCCTTTCAGTCTTGTCCTCCTCTCTCAGTCCATCCTCCCCTGATTTCCTCCTGGGTAGGGGCCCTATCTTCTTTCTGATGGTTCACCTCCATTTTATCACAATCCAAGCTCACAAAACTGTGATTTTTGTCAAAGGGGCGGTTCTTTTTATTGCCTAGACTAGAGCTTTAAAGTACCATTACAAGAGACCAGGCTTTTAACCAAATTATACAGTTATTTCTTAGTTTGGGGGCATATTGTTGTACAGCCTGAGAGATTGCTGAGTATTTTGGCAGTGCCCACTATTGAAAACAATGCAGATTGGGAAATATCCAGTCAGTGTCCAAAAACTCTGGTTCGGCAATGAAAGCTGCCAGCCCCTCTGCTCTGCCAGAGCCATTGTTGCTTTGTGTGGCTTGAACTTTTCACATTTCCCACAGGCTATCCAGAATGAAACAGTACATGCTTAGTCATTCTAGGGGTGATTCGTTTTACTACAGATGAAATGATGCTCATCACGACTTCCTTCCCGGCTTAAACACACAGTCAAAGAGGAGCCCCACAGCACCACGTAATTCAGAAATGTAGACAGGGTGGGGCACCAGGAATGGGTGCATAGCGGAGTGGGGACAATTTGGAATAAAATTATTGATTTTCCAATATTTTATGTCCATTCCAAACTGCGGTCAGCCCCTGCTCCTGATTTTCTTCTGCTGCAATACAAATATTGCTCTTCTGGTGAAGCCAACCTTGTGCTTAGGTTAAACAATGTAGTGGGGATCCAAAACAACACTGCTTAATTATTCCACGACTTGTCAGGGGCCTAGAGAGAACTGCAACAACAGGAGAGGAAGGCCAATAACAGAACAACCTCCCAGAATGACTATCACTTTAAATAAACAGCCATTTGTTTTTATTGTTATACTTCCAGCTCAAGGGAATTTGGAAGATTCTCCAATGAGACATATTTTCACTTAAGTATTCGTCAAGCCCAGTGGATATAACAAAATGACAAAGGCTCCCAAATATGCCTTACAATGTACGGGAAGGGGATCCCAATTATAAACAAAGTCTAACCATTCTATGATATAAATGAACATGTCTTATCATAAGGACGTTCTTGAATACCCACAGTTGAGTACTCCAGTGAGACCACAGCTGGCTCAAATACACAGGGAGAGATAGCCTTGAGAGTAAACCCATGGAGGTCCCGAGTAAATGGGCCTATGCTAGTGAGATTGAATTTAATCAAAAACCAATCTATAGTACACCAACCTGACCTTCTCCTCTCCTAATCTTCTGTTAAAACTCTCTCACAATTATAAATGAGCTCCTAAAGAAACCACCACTTACTATGTGAAGAAAGCCAATGTATGGGGAAAGTAAAAAAAGAAAAAAATATGGCTCCTGTCACACCTATCACATCCTCATCTTACTTTACTTCTGTCACCCTCTATAATCATCCTTTTCTGACTCCTCTGCTCCCATCAATGCCTAGTTCCACCATTTTCTCTGGATAATCTTCACTTAATAAGAATGCCTTATACAACAATTTTATCTGTGGCATCAAGAGAAGATTAATGAAGCCAAACAGAAATCAAAAGACAATTATAGCATGGGCAATGTTTCTCAGTATAATGAGTGGTCCAGTGTTATTAATTTAGTTGATACACTAAATTTGGTGTACAATCTGGTGTACAGTCATCAGGATTGGAACAGCTCTTTTTCAACAAAGCTCTGGGCTAACTATAACTTGGGAGCAGTGACAGGCTTTGCAAATTATGACCACAGCCACAAATCAAAAGGCAATCTTCATGTGTGCATGGAGTGGAAGGGACTGGTGGCCACACATCCGTCTTTGCAGGCACCCAGCATGCATTGAGATCACCATGAGAAGTGTCATCTTCTTGGATGAAGGACAAGAATAGAATTCAGTTTACTTCCTCACTTACATTACTGTCTCCTAATATCATTACAAAATGGTGGTGTGCGGGGGTCCTTGGAGCAGTCTCCTCCTCCTAGTAAAGGTTCCCAGTCACATTTATTGCATGGATGTACTTCTTCAACTTCCCTTGAGAGTATCTTTAAAGCACTCCTGTATAAAGGGTCACTGAAATAAGCAACTGGCAGAGGAAAGGTACAACTGCACATTAGACCTCGTCAGTATAGGGCCATTATCTTGAACCCCCATCACTTTGATGTTCATGGTGTTTGGTTATGAATAAGAAGAAACAAACAAACAAACAGGTACTTTTTACAGGGTCTGGCACAAATAACACCCCTTTTTATTACAAAATCATAAGTATGTAATTCTGTAACATAATGCCACACTCAAGCATACCGTATGACATTTTAGGTGAAATGTTCAAATTAAAACTATAAATTATTACACCTGTATTATTTACCCTACCAACCACACTCAAGCAGGCCTTACTTCTGCCAGACCCTGTATTATCTGTCTCAGAAAATAACTGCTAAAAGAATTAGCAACAGTACATGATGTTCTTCTTCTGCATTGCCCAGATCCCCTACAGACCCACTTCAGAAATAAATGATTGGCTACTCCATCTGCGGAGAATGACCTGGAAATAGGTTTCAGCAGTCAGCCCACTTTGGGGATTGCATCAGCTGAAGAGAACCACCTTGCCCAAAGTCATGCCCTCTGGCTGCAGTAAACTGGCCCAATGACTGGTTGTCATGGAATTAGAGACCTGGTCCTTGCTCTAGTTCTGGACTGCTCTGAAGGATCAGTCTATCTTCAGATGTCCCAACAGGGTGGGCTGGAGCTTCCATTAAAACAGCATCACACCTCTACTTCTCTCTCTGCCCACTCCTGCCCTGTCTTCCCTTCCCTTTCACAGCACTGATATCACAAGCACTCCCTGAGCTCAAGAGCACTCCCTAATAAACCACCTGTACACCAACCTCTGCCTCAGAGTCTGTTTCCCAGGGACCCAACCTGAGACTTTTCATTTCCCTTTTATTCAACACAGAAAGAGATGACTTAAAAGAGCCATGATATCTATTTTCAAATATGGAAATGACCTATATGGTAGAGAGATAAATCTTTGACCATTAGCACCAAAGGTGAAAACTGGAACTAATGAATAGAAATATTAGAATGCATTATTTGCTGGTCTTATTTTCCTTGCACCTTTGTTTTGTTGGTTAGGTTCTGCTTATAGGTGAGATCATATGGTATTTGCACCAACAAAGACAAGAGGGAAGGAGGTAGGGGCGGGCAGGGGAAAAAGAAGGGAAGGGGTAAGTCAAGGAACATATAGCAAGGACTCAGGGACAAAACCAAAATGGGAATGATTGAGGGAGAGAGAGGGAGGAGGGGGCAGGGGAAAGTGGTGGGAGGAAGACAGAGACAAATGTATTTGGAAAAATAAATTAATTAATTAATGTGGAAAAAAAGAAGGCATTATTTGGCTCAATATAAGAAATGGATTTGCAACAATTATAGCTATTTGAAATGGAATTGGCCTCATAATGTAGTGAGCTCTCTGTAGCCATAAGCATTCAAACAAAAGCCAGATTATCATCTGAGAAAGGGACTCTCTTCAGCACTCTTGTCTGGAAAATGCCATGCTCATCTTTAAGATCTAGGTCACATGTCAGCTTTCTATACATATCATCTTTTCTAACTTCCCCAAGTTAGTTTTCTCTTCCCTGTGCTTTCACAATATTTTGCATGTGCTTCTATCATAACATTTATCACACAGGAAGCATATATGTCTGCTTTCTCCCATTAAAAATGTATGTTTCTCAAGAGCAGGTGTTGTGCCTTGTTCATCTCTGGATCTCAAGATGGGATATGAAAAAAAACTTTGCATTTGTTGTATTAATATTATAATGAAGATTCCTTTATTAGGTAGGAGATGAACTGAAATGACCTTGATAGTCTCATCAGGTTCCAAAGTTCTATGCTGATGGTACATAACTACTTCATAAAAATAAAGTATGCCTGAACAGCTATAAAGTAACTGCACTTGA